AACAAAACTGTGATGTGACAATGTCCTTTTCACGAATGCTCCAGAAAATGTCCATACTCCCTAGACTGCAGGCCTGCCCACACCAATCCAATGATGTAGTTTTGGAATGTTGGTGAGGTCTGGAGCTGATGGCCAAGAAACAACTCCTGAGACATCTTTGGTGCAAAAAGGTGGTTTTCTTAAGGCACGTGGGCAGGAAGAGCTGCACTGGGGTTGTGAGGGGTGGCGATTTTAGACCTTCAAGTTGGGAGGGGGTTGGGGACAGAACAAACCTCCCAGGTATTTTGGAAGCAAGGTTTCCAGGATCCTGAGGGGGCTAGCTGTTGTTAGGAAAAGGTCATTTATTACTGGTTAGTAAAAACTCAGTCATGAGACTCTTCAGATGTGTATCAGTGGGTCATCTGCTTGGGGGATGATTGCTAACATGTATCTTGGAGGGGGGTAGAGATAAAGGGAGCTTCCAAAGGAATTTCTGTTATGTTTAAAGTAGACTCACAGGATCCTGGGGAGGGGCGGGTTAAGACTGCCTCTTGCCCTTAGCAAAGTGTCAACATCCAGGCCGCTGAGTTCCCAGAGGAAGGTCACTCTGCCTGTTTCAAGGACTTGTCAGTGGGTTGTAAGTAGTAAGGAAATTTAATAATTTTTCTTCTGCTTCTGTTTCCCACATCACCCAATCCATAGGAATGGAATAAGTTGTTTTCGTAGGGTATTCCATGGTCTTCCACTGTTCTAGGCACAAAGCAGGAACTCAACAGTGATTGTGAAATGAGTGAACAGACGACTCATTACGAGACAGGAGAAAGATGGCCCGGCTGTCAGGAAACACCCACTCGAGAGAAAGGTTTAGTGTAAGCCAAAACACAATTATTTTCATTTCATCACTGTCTCCTTTGTATATACTCAAAAGCAGGAGAGAAAAAACACACAAACAAAAAAGGTCCCTAAGTCCTGTCATTTTATGAAAGCCTGCCTAAAAACCTAGTAAAGCAAGTTGAGTTTACCCTAGGAGACTAACACATTGGGAACACCACCCTTATATATTTGCACGTCCTTTAAGTATGTTAGTGTATCAACTAAGGTCCTGGATAAAGAGACAAGATTTTAAAGCACTTAAAAACACAAACTACGTATCAGGCGAGGATGATACAACATACACTGTTTTAACCTCAGGGGAGCTGAATGCGCACAGTATTGCAGAGAGAAGTGATCTGATCAGCATTTGGGGTAAAGAGTTTCAGGATTTCCAATGTCCTTTATCCACCTTCCCCTGTCTGCACGCGAACAACTCTGTTTACTCTTCGTTCGTGAGGCAATTAATGACAAGCCTCCTGACAAGAGATGAGCTTTCCTTTTTTGGCTCAGACAGCTTTGCCATTTCTTAAATTTACTTATAAAAACCCATGTGGATTCCTTAGGAAAAGGCCCACAGATCTGATAGTTAATTTCTTAAGTCTTTTTCATTCCCCTCACTTCCTGTCCTAAACCTAATTTCTTCCATTTATGATCATGGGTATGCCACAAGAGATGAAATATTTTCCAATTTACTAGAATCTCCTGACACTCAAAATTTACCTGCCTTTACCATTTTAGACATTGCAAAGTAAAATGACCCAGCAAAGGGATTTCAACATCATGTTCTATTTTCCTTTTTTTACAGCAGGCATTTTATTACCTATTTTTCTCTGTAACTTCAGTCAAGAGAAACCTTTCTCTCTGTATACTTCAGAAAACTATAAAAAGGGCAATATGTTCTCTGGTATCGTTTCACAGACAGAATGGAAAGCACTTAGTAAAAATAATACATTTTAGTTTTCTGAGTAAGACACTTCTCACCCTTGGCCTAGAAATCCCAGTGCTCTCTGATGTATTTTGAAAGATAAAATGAATTAGATTTACTGTAATCCCTTTGAGAAATAGTAATTTGCCTCTATTAATTCACTGAGTCAATCAGAGGACACTCAAGAGAAAATCACAGAAAAGATTCTTCCACATTTTGTGTTTCAAACCTAAAAGCTCAGCGTTTAAACTGGACACTGCAGTCCTTGAAAATGTCTCGCAATCATCTTTTGTTGAATTAGTGGATTACAAGCTCACAGTTTGTGTTGCTTTCATTGTTCTCTTCATTCATCAAACTCGGTTACATTACCCCCATAACTTCCTGAATTAACAGAACAGGTGGGTCAATCCTATGCTATCAGGACCCCAGATTATGACCCACGCTTACTCAAAGATGTTCCTTCCCACAACAAAGAGACTTGCCGTTCTACGTGGGTAGCAGAGTGTTTAGCATAGAGTATGTTTTTTTTTTTTTTTTTAAATGAACGGATGCATGAAGAAGTAACTTGCTTTCCATTTTCCCCAAAGTCTTAGGAAGAAGGAAAGCAGTGAAGGTGTTTAAATGAAATTGCTGGGAGCAAACTCTTATCTCCTGGGAAAAGAAAACCCAATAAGCACAACCCAAAGTAGGTGTGTGCTAGGGAAGGGGGTGCAGCCACAGGCTCTGGCTCACTCCCCCTTATTATAACCTCCTGCCTGGGAAGCATGAGGGACCCATGCAGAATTCAAGGCAGGCTCTCAAACACCAGGGGGTGCTCTCTCGTTTCAAAAGCCACGGGGCCCAAGCGGTCTCGTTTCAAAAGCCACAGGGCCCAGCAACACCAGCCCCATGGCTGGTCAATCCAAATCCACACTGGCCGCCTTCCCAATCCATTTCTGCACAGCAGCCAGATCTGATCATGTCACTCCCTCTCTGACCCAGCAGCTCCTGGGAGTGAAACTGCTTAAAAGCCCAAAGCTGAACAAAAATCAAAATGGCTGCACTAATGCTTCAGCAAAATTCCATTTTCAAGCAACCTTTTCCCTCTCTTCCACAAGGCTCCTTCCCCCCCTTCTTAGCCTTTTGTTTCAGGAACCTGGTGCCACCCAACAGACCCGACAAAGGAGGCTGGTAGGACGAACACAATTCCTGTCAAACCCGGCCAGATCCTGTATTTCCCCAGAAATACCTTCCTTCGGGAGGGCCCGCAGTTTCCGAAGGCCGTAACCTGCGGCAGCCTCCTCTGCCTGGCAAAGCAATAAAGCTAGTGTTCCTCTTCATCCCAGACTCTGTCTTCGAGCTTGTTCTATTCCGGCTCTGAAGCAGGGAGGTCAGTTTTCTGCAACAGGAGGACTGCATCCTGGGGCCTACATAATCCTATCAGCTCTCCAGTCAGGAACCACGGGCGCTCACTGCACCCAGTGCTCAGGGCCTTCTACCTCACTGAACTCGACCCCCCACCAGCCTTGAGCTCTTCCCTCCAGTGGGAATCTCTTCCCGCCCCTCCTGCCTCCTACTCGGCTTTCAGATCTCAGCTTAAGTACCACTTCCTCACAGAAGTCTCTGACCTCCGTGATTAAGTGACACCAAACCTATTACAAAACCTCGTAGGGAACTTCTAGGAGAAAAGTCTCGCGGCCTCGGGTTAGGCAAAAGGTGCTTGGACACGGCAGCAAAAGGAGAATTCACTAACATTTTTTTGTTCAAATGGACTTCATCAAAATTAAAAACTTTTGTGTTTCAAAACAGACAATTAAGAAAATGAAACACTAAAAACTGAAAGAACATACTGGCAAATCGTCTATCCGATAAAGAACCTGTATCCAAAATACATAAAGAACTCTTTTAACTCAAAAAGACAGCCCAATTAAGAAATGAGCAAGACATTTCAACAGTCATTTAATCAAAGAAAATACAGGAACGGCTCATAAACACACAAAAAGATGCTCAACATCATCAGTCAGTGGAGAGGTCCAAATCGAGATCACAGGAGAGACCACTGCACCCCCCCACCACAATGGCTCTGTTCAAAAAGATGGCCAGTCAGAAGTGCTGTGAAGGATGAGGGAACACTGGGGGGCTGGGGGAGTGTAAAATGAGAAAACCACTATGGAAAACAGCTCGACAGTTTCTTTAAAAAGTGAAACGGAAACTTATCATACCACTCGGCAATTCCACTCCGAGGACTCATCCTTCCCGAGAGAAATGAAAACCTATATCCACACCAACACTTGCACATGAATGTTTACAGCGCTATTATTCAGAACAGCCCCAAACTGAAAACAATCCAGATGTCCTTCAACTGGGGAATGGACAAGCCAAAGGCGGTATATTCCTGTAATGGAAAACTCTTCAGCAATGAAAGGAACCAAGCACCTATACGGGCTACCACACGAGTGAAACGCAAAGACATTCTGCTGAGTGAAAGAATCTCAATACAAAAGGCTATGCTTACTTTTATCATTCATTTTATGGAATGTCCATAAAGAGACAGAAAGCTGGCTCATGGTTATCTGGGGCTGAGAGCTGGTATTGACCGCGCATGGCAGAAAGGGATCTTTTGGGGCTGATGGAAATGTCCTAAAATTGGATGTGGTGACTGATGTGGAGAAACACAGGTAGAAGGAAGGAAATGTAGATAAAATTAAATGTCCTTATAACCTGCAGCCCAATGACAAATACTTGAGGCAGGCAGAGTACGACATTCTTCTGGAAACTTCCAACTGTCTTAAGGTTAATGCTTTGCTAGAGGGAAAAACAACCTTAGCTTGTCAACAGCTAGACATCCAGGATCCTGTCAGTCTTCTTTAACGTATGAAAGCCCTTTTGGAAACTTCCCTTTGTCTTTACCTCCCCACAACTCCAAAGTGTACCATCAGCCACCTCTCACAATCCCGTGCAGCTCTTTCTGCCCAGGGGTCCTGTCGCTGGGCTTTAATAAAACCGCCTTTTTTGCGTTGAAGTCATGTCAAGAATTCTTTCTTGGCCGTCGGCTCCAGAGCCCACATTCCCTTCCATCAGTGATGACTGCACAACTCTGTAAATTTACTAAAAATCGAAATATACACTTAAAATGGGCAAATTTTATGGTATGACCCCTCACCATAGCTGTTAAAAAAAAAACAAAAAAAACCAAAACAAGACCTCACGTGAACATGTGGCTCCCCACAGTACTTAACTGTCCAGCCGGCGCCCCGGGCACTCAGAGGGGACCCGCAGAGCCCTCTCCAGCACTTCGTTACTTTTCTAAGAGGCAGCCTCACACGGTACAGAGAACGCAGGCTCAGGAGTCTAGAAGATAATGTTCAAACACTGCTTCACCACCTCCTTGCTGGGTAACTTTGAGAAGTTACTTAAAATCTCTCAAATTCAATACAAGAGGGACAAGGCTACCATGGTTGCTGTGAGGACTAACAACGAGGTAGGTACGACACGGCTTCCATCCCCTTCATTCCACTGAAGACGCTCTTCTCAACGTCCTTGACGGTTTACATGTTTGTTGCCAGTTCCTAAGGACACAGATGAGTCTCCACATTTCTGTGAGGATGACAAGCTCAGCACTCTAATGTCTGATCACTCCCAACTCCAACAATTTTGCTTCCGGAGATATCCATGTTTACCTCACTCCATCACTGCTGCCTCCATCTGAAGTCCCATTCCTATAGTACCTTCTATCTAATCTTCCCCCATTTTCCACATAAATAATGAGAAACCAACAGTCCTTTTCCCACATACCCAACTAGAGTGATTTGTTCAGGTTAATAAATCAGATGTTACCCCCTCCCATACACTACTTAAAATCTTTTGTTGCCTTCCATTTGTTAGGGAAAAAAAAAGGAAAACCACAGGCCCAAAATGGTGTCACTTAGACTGAGTTCCCAAACAGGGGCTTCGTACCCAATCTAATTGCGGTTTCAACCTCCCCCAGAAATGTGGCCTTAGCTGGTCACTAAAGCATTTTCTGGTCAGCACCAATGAAGTCATCTGTAAGTGAGCCCTTTCTATCCACCAAAGAAAGATGAGGTCATCTGTGTAAGATCCTGCCCTTCTCCCTGAAGGAGAATGCAGTGACCTTGCCTGGAACAATCCTTTCTTTTCTTTTGCTAATAACTTCTGTGCCCTCTTGTAAAAACCTTCCAATTTGTACAACTCTTCAGAGCTCCTCCCCTACTTGCTAGATGGGACACTGCCCAATTCTTGAGCCCAATTCCCAAACTGCTTAACAACACCAATTAGATCTTCAAACTTACTCAGTTGAATTTTTGTTCTTTAACAATAGGTATACCTAACTCATTGGTAGAGCGCCTGGCACACAGTGGGCGATCAACAACGAACCATACTCCTTTCTGTTAAGGTTTACAAAATAAAATGACTGCTCACCCAAAGTCTTCTAAGCTCCTTTCCCAACCACCCCACGATGACGTGGAGACTCCCTCCTGTTCCAAATATGCCCAGCTGTGCTCTCAGTAAAGCGACTACCTCATTATATTTTTCTATCTCTTCCTGCCAAATGTCAGCCCCTTGAAGGTAAGAATCTTTTCAACTCTGAATTCCTAACGCTTAACGAAGACAAACGCAAATCTTTGTTGAGTCAACAAACACTGATTATGGCAGAAATTCATTTTTAAAAACCTTGGGTTGTCTCTGGGCAACTGTTATAGATACCAGTATGCAAATGGCCTGGTTTCACGCTGAGGCTTTAAATAAACAGTCAGTTGGAAACAGAAAGCCAAATCACCTACATCATCTCCAAAGACTCTGCTTTTACTTTCCTTCAAATACACTTACAACATATATAACCCAAATCCAAATAATTAAACCCTTAATTAAAAAATCTGAAAATAAGACCCACATGGCTATATACTCAGCCCACGGTTTCATCAAACCACATGTTTTAGCATTGTGATCTACTCAGGCCGAGAGACCAACTGAATCAATTCCTTATTTACGAACCATAATTTTTTGGAATAAACTAAAAACCTGAAATTGATACAGAAGGAGCTAAAAGGAAACAAAGTACCTCCCTCCCCCCCCACACACACTCACAGCCTGCCAGAAGACTCTCCCATGAAAACAGACTTCATATTTTCAAATAAAGACCTAATGAACAATCTAGGATTTAAATCACTGGTCTGCAAAAACGGGTTCTACTTAAAAAAGATACTGTGATGTGCAGGCTGCTCTCTTCGGGCGGTTTCAGGTTTTTATCTGATATACTGTATATGCTATTAGCCAAAATGCTCGTTCCCCTTAAATGCCTCCGTGTCCTACCGACATTATGCATGAGCCCCTCAGCGGTTCTGAGTCCCGACCAGAAGCCCACAGACCAGAAGGCTGCAGTGCTGCGGACATGCACATGCTTAACATAATCCTGCAAAACTTTCTGAACTGGTGACAACAGCCACCCAATTCCTCCACCACTGTAAGTATGAACTCACATCTGGGGCTGCTTTTCCCCTCCTGCAAACTTCGTTAAGTCTATCCTGGTCTGAGAAGCCTGGCTGATTACACCGTTTTGTTTCCATCCTGTACTCGCCCAGGAAGACTCCATGTAACACTGAGGTCAGAATAAAATCATATGGTTAGCAGAAACAAACTCAACTAAAACGCATTAATTAAAAAATCAATTCAACCTGTTTGTGGCAACCGAGGCTTTACGAAGTTAAGGGGGACAAGAGATGTTGTCACGACCTGTTTTGCAAAGACAAACGTGTTTGGCTGTACGTCACAGTGGAACACATGAAAGCAGCCTGAAACAACAAATGGGATTCTACCAGAATTTTTATGGGATATATACGGCCTACTTTTGAAGAGCTGTTCGAGAAACAGCAGAAACAGTTCTGCTCCTGAGCCTCGCCTCAGTGCCCGAGAGAACAACAGGAGGATGCAGAACAGGAACCTGGAAATGCGTTATTTTGTCAGCTTGTATGTAAGGACAAGGAGCTAGGTACCCTAACCATGCCCTAGTTTTAGACCGGCTTACTTCTGGCTTTCTGAGCAAGGCCCAGAAGCTCCACCTTCTAAGCCAGGGTATTCACTGGTAGATCAAAAGTTAAATTCTCTTCTCTTCTCGAAGACCCATGAGGCCTGCCAGCTCTGCTTGTGGAGTAAACACTTTACTTTTTTTTTTTTCCATTTAGGTTTCTGACTCTCCGCTTGTGCCTAGGACCCTTTCACGGCCATTTTCTGCCCTGTAAGGTGGGCAGGCTCGATCCCGTTGGGGGCACACGGGGCCCACCCAGAGAAGAACCGCCAGAAAAACCTCAGGCCCGCGGCACGGACTCCTCGAAGCGGACGTGGGCCCACACCCCGTGCCGATTTGGGTGCCTTTCCCACCTTCTCAGTAGAAAGGTGGACCCTGCTGTATGCAGGGGCTCGGGGCCGCCGGGACTGGTTGGGGCCGCACCGCAGCCTGGCCGGGGACGGCACAGCGTCTAGCGCTGGATGCCTCTGGACACCATCCTGGGAAGCGCAACACTTTGCTTTCTGAAGTTACGGCTTTGTTCTTTCGGGGAGTGCTTTTGGTGAGCCAACTGTACTCATGACTTTTTGTCGAGTTCCACTTTACAAAGGTAAAAGTTTCTGGTAAGATAATAACATTGAAATGTGAACTAAGGCAGTTTGCTAACTGCGTACTAGACAATATTGAGGGGAGACTATGACACCCCAAAAATGAGTCACTTTGGCATGTGGACTGTTTTGAGCCAAAGACAATCAAGACCCAGTGGACGTGGGAAAAACTTTTACCTGTTCCTTACCTAAGAGAATTTAGAGAGGGGGGCCTGGCCTAGCAAAGAGCTATCACCAAAGGTAATTTTTTTTATCTGAAAGAGCCACCTGCCTCTGGTTACTAAACATCTGTTCTTTTTAACTTCCTGCGAATCCTCCTCCCCTTTGAAGCCCCAGGCCCCTTTCCCATTCCTTAGCTCAGGATGGCACCTGAACCTCAACTGCCTGGCTGCCTTTGGGTCTCGTATTTTTATGGGGCTCCCATATGTAAGAGATCAAATTTGTTTTTCTCCTATAATCTGTCTTATGTCAATTATTAGATCAGCCAAAGAACCTAGAACAGAGGAAGGGCAAAGTTTTCCACCAGTACCAAATGAAAATAAAGAGCAATTCAAAACCATACATTTAGTAAAATAGAAATTAGTAAACTAGGTATTACAGAAATACAACATAGGGCTTATCGTCTGAGTCACCCAAGCTAAGAAACCTAATATTACAATCTCTTTCTATCGTAATGGTATTAAGGAATTATATTATTTTAGGTATAATAATGGCACTGTGGGTATATTTTAAAATCTTATTGTTTTAGAGGTATACACTGAGATATTTATAGAAGACACGATATTTCATGGAATTTGCCTTTAAAAATGGAGTGAGGAGGGAACGGGCAGGCAGAAGGGGTGGGCCAAGACCGGCCATATGTTGGCTGTTGAAACTGGGTGATGGGGACATGGACTTCCATTACACTCTATTTTTGTACATGTTTGAAAATCTCTGTAACAAAAAAGGAAGGGGAAGTATAATAATTCTTTTAACTGCCTACTTGATCAAAGAAAAGATTTCAGCTCATCACAGTTCATATTTATGCAAAGAACTGTCAATCTAAATTAAAAAGACTGAAAAGGTGCACTACCTGTCACACTGAACCTCACCGTGAAGACCGTAAATCACAGATCCATGCGGGATTCTCCCTCCCCCTCGTTTAGTCTCACTGCAACCACTGCTCCTGGGGCTTCAGTAGCCACGTGGGATCTTTTTTAAGATACCTGTACTGTCACACAAACAGGTGCACGAAATTCCACAGGTGTAGTGACACCCTCTCTCTGGGTGCCCCCCTTTGTAAGCTTGGGGTCTCCTGGTACCATAACCACTGACTGCCTCCCAACTGCACTGTGAACTTCAAGATGATAAATACTCAGTCTTATTCATCTTTACATCCTCTGCTTAGACTGAGCTAGTACAAGATAATGTGTGAGGAAAGAATAAATCTCTAAATCTCAATATCTGTACCTCATTCTTAAACTAAATATTTTAAGATTTTTCATATTGTAATTTTAAGACATTTTCCCCATAATTATTTTAATATCCTACTTTAATCTTACTATTGAACATTTGTTAGTAAACTCTTTCTGAAACCGAAGTTTGAGTCCTGAAGATATATTTGTGATAAAAACAGCCCATTAATATTTGCACGTGAACAACTGCCTTAGAGAACTTTACCACTGTTTTCGTTAAAGAAAGAGACAGCCTATGGCTGATCACAAGATGAAGAGTTAGGGGTACCATCAACGAGAATTACAGTTAGTGTGAATTCATAATCACAAAGGGCTGACCAGTTATTCTATATTTATTATATGGCTGGCACTGTTATTATTTTGTTTGTTCTCCCAAAAGCCCAGTGAGGTAGGTACTACTATTATCCCCATTCTATAGACAAGCAAATGCACTCAGAGGCTAAGGCATTTGCCCAAGGACATACAGACGCTTCAAACCCAGCCTGGGTGCTGAGGTGCTGACGGGCTCCTCCTACCCACTGTAGCAGATACCCGCCAATCCGTATTTACTATGTACAGGAAACCCAGCTCTGTGACCCAGGAAGGTTAGACTTGATTTTTCTGTTGCTCCAGTATATTTACGCCTCACGAGATGGAGAACACAGGTGACGGAAAACAAGTCACTTAAGCCGTTTGCTTTGTCTCTGTATTGACAGTAGCTAACCCTTATGTATGGCACTTTTAGGTAAATGCCAGGCATTGTTGCAAACCCCTTAACATACCAACCCAGTTAATCCTTATAGCAGTTCAAGAATGTTGGTCCCATTACCATCTTCGCTTCAATGAAGAAAGGAAACTGAGGCTCAGCCAGGTCACACAACACACCCAGAGAGTAGATAAGCACAGGTTTCAGTGCGCCTAGTCTGGTCCAGATTCCACGCTCTCACTCACCTGCTACCCTGCCAAACAGGCACACATAGACCTGGCTTAACCCAAAAGGCATGGTTTAAGGATTAAGCCTCGTATGTCCCCTAAATAGGAGCAAAGTTACTATTTCCACCTACCCTGTTTTTCCCAGCTATATTTTGTAGTCTGGTCTTTAATATCATATTTAGGAAAATTAAAACGGTCAACATTAATTTACAAAAGTAGACACTCTCATTTTCCATCTTTATCATCACACAGGAAACTTTTCATGCATGGTATATATTAACAAAACTAAACCAAAGGCCATTCAGTAATCTCAGGAATATGATTTATCCAATCAATATAATTCCTGGGGCTAGTCAACTCTAATAAGCTTATTATATAAACCATAATAAAGAGTCAACTCTGGAAAATTCTTTTTTTTTTTTTTAAGATTTTATTTATTATTTGAGAGAGAGAGAGAGAGAGAATGAGCCAGCAGAGGGAGAGGGAGAAACAGGCTCCTTGTTGAGCTAAGAGCCCAACGCAGGGCTCAATCCCAGGACCCTGAGATCATGACCTGAGCCAAAGGCAGATGCT